CAGTGCTACCTACCCATCTATGCAAAGAGGAATTCTCAGCACTGGTGCTTATAAAATCAAAATATTGATCAAATGAATAGTGCTAAAGATGCTTCACATCCTGCAATATTGAGGATTCAGCCCAGATTTAGTTCCCTATGGAAAAATAAATAAACATATCCATTTTGTTAGTATATAAATTTGCTTTTGTCTTTAATAAATGGTAAAATTATATGTATCCCACAGAATTGTTTTAAAATAAATACCTTTATGATTATCAGTACACATTTGATTTATGTACCTATTTACTATAACTATATACTTGGGGTTGCCTAACATTTTCTTGGGTAAGAAAGAGTAGTGAGGGGTTGGGAATTTAGCTCAGTGGTAGAGCGCTTGCCTAGCAAGCACAAGGCCCTGGGTTCGGTCCTCAGCTCCAAAAACACAAAAAAGAGTAGTGAGCAGACAAAGTTTTCAAAGTCCTCCCTGGGGCTGGAGCGCTGGTTCGGCATTAGGAGCACAGAGTGCAGGCTTCGTGTTAGAAACACACGCAGAGGACGAGTTCAGTTCCCAGCACCCAGGCCTGACTGAAACTGCCTGTAATTCCAGCTCCAGATCTGATACCGCACTCTCTTCTGGTCTCCTTGGGCAACCTGCACACATGTGATCATGTACACACACACACTTACACACACATTTTTTTTTTTAAAAGAGCTCTCTGGGATAGGTTGAACACCACCTTTGTCCCAGGTTCTCCAGGTGGCTAGCAACTGTCACCTTTGGCAAAGGTGATGCTCTGGTTGTGTGCCCTCCTTGCTACCATAAGGGTACAGACGAGGTTCAAGTGGTTCCCCGCCTGGCACCCCACACGTAGGAGCCCAGAGCTGTGAACCTGAAGGGCATGGGAGGACAGCTGAATGGCAGGGCTTGAATGAGACCCGGGGCAATCCTTCCTTCTTCCTACTCCAAGTCCTTGCTGGAAATTCTGTCCCAATCCAAATCAAAATGCATTTAGTGATTTTTTAATGAACTCAAAGTCAGTAACTCACACAGCAATATTTAAAATCAGGCATTCCTTCTCTGCATGTTCAGGATGCCTCCGGCTGTATTTTCTTCGCCCAAACCGGAACACGCTCCTTTCAGTCAGATAGCACCTAGCAAAATCCAGCCATGGGCTCGGAGCCTTGGCCTTTTCCTGCTTGGTTTTTCACCAATTTCACCTTTGTCCTCTGGTGAGTTACCCAAGGTCACACTGAATCAAACAGTAAAGCCAGAAATAAAATTCAGATCAGCTGGCTCCCAAATTGGTACCTAATGTAAGTGGAGCGAGCAGGTTTACCGCTGACTCTCTGAGAGTCTTAATCAAATGTAGGCTTATAAAGCCTGCAGCTTCCCTGGTATTCAAGAGACAATGCAGCATAATAAGACCCACAGGAAAAGGTATTTTTAAAAAGGGATGGAAAAATACAAGGCGAACCATCTGGATTTATAATTAACACAGCAAAGCGATTTGAATTCAATTCTGGATTGGGACTCTGTTAAACTACATCACAGTGGAGTCAGCATACGCCAAGGAAGAAGCAGGCAGCCTGCTGTCTGATGGCTCGGCAGAGGGCACAGCAAAGCTCAGAAGCTGCTGGAAATACTAATGTCTTTGGCATAAAACTCGTGTTCTGCTCTTATGAGAAGACACTTGAAAATGAGCAAGACCAATGCTAAATTCCAAGTTACAACGGCCGCACAGTGAGAGAGATAACTGACAGCCAAGTCCCTCTAGCCTGCAGCGCTGAAGAGCGGGAGCCAGGCAATTAAAGCTGAGAAAAGACAGGAAACTTAGATCAGACACAGGCAGGACCTGCCGTCTGGTGCTGGGAACCCCGGGGGTGCTTCCTACCTGGGATGGAGCAAGCCCAGGGCAGTAAGGGAAGGGGCAAGAGTAGAGGGGAGACTGCCTGGACTCTCTGGAGTTCTCCTCCTTCCATCGGATGGGGTGACAAGGGAAACTCCCTTGGGAAAAAGTAAAGATAAAAGACATCCTGTGAGATCCTGCCCTAGATGTGCAAGGCTTGTCCCTCCCTGGAAGAATGACTCACACCACACCTGAAGCTCTCGGTTCCTTGTCCACTTCTTACTTCTCTGGTATGTCCAGGTCTTCACCTGTTGCCCCAAGTGACATCATAAAATTGTCTGTGGGGGAAATGATGTAGGCTATGTATCACCAAGATTCTTAGGATGTGCAGTGTGAAGAGATGTTTTTAAAAGAAGGGTTACAAAAAAGTAACAGGGAGGCTGGAGAGTGGCTCAGTGGTTATGAGCTCTTGCTGTTTTTCTAGAGGACCGGAGTTCAGTTCCCAGCACCCACATCAGGTGGCTATCAACCCTGCAACTTCAGCTCCAGGGGATCCTAATGCCCTCTTCTGGCCTCTGAATACATGAGGCACATATTTCAACACAGATACACAAATAAAAGTAAATATTAAATGTTTTACACACACACACACAACAACAGCAACATCACTTTGCTGAAGTTTCCCACTAGACCAATTTTTGTCAGACATGGAGGTTGACGCCTCTAGTCCAGTTACTCCAGAGGCTGAGGGAGGAGAATTTCTGGAGCCCAGTCTGGGTAACACAGTGAGACTCTGAGGACATTTGTTTTACTTCCTTTGCTATCTTTCATGACCTTTCATGTTTCCTTATTGGTGAAATTATTAAGGCCACTCCATGTAGTCAAAAGGAGATTTATTTAATGGCGTAACTTACAAATTAAGGGATAGGTAGGTCGCGGGGTCTGGGGAAAGTGTATCGCAGTCCAGTGGTGTTCTCTGGAGCTCTGCTTGGGCCACCTCCACCATCCAGGGTCCCTGAACGGAGAGCACGCTCCCTGATCCAATCCAGATCTCAGGTCCCCAGGCGCCTCTCTTGGCCCCGCCTTGTAGGCGTGACAGTTGCTGAAGTCTCAATGGGGGTTGGAACTTCCAGATCAAAGCTGGAATGGCTACCCACTACATTTCCTCTTTATCAGAAGATAAAATTTCACTGAGAAATTATCTATCTTAAGCAAAAGTATTTGCATGCATATGCATTTTTGTGTGTGCATGTGAAGGTGTGTATGTGTGTGTGTGCACATGCATGCATGTGGAGACCTGCCAGAGGAAGACTTCAGGGTGTCTTTCTCTATCAGTCTCCACCTTATTCTTTAAGGCATGGTCTCTGGTTGAACCTAGAGCTGACTCAGCAAAAGCAGCTGACCAAAGTCAGGACCAACAGAAACTCCATTTTCCCAAATTCTGGCAGTTAAACGTGTGAAGCTGGTTCTCTGCTATCAAAAGGAACCATGTCCCTTATCCCTGGCAAAGGGACAAATGGCTACCTGTGGTGCCTATGAGCATACAAAAGCACATGCTGATCTCCAGGCTTCCTCAGTATCTATCCCAAGTACCTGTTACACATTTCAGAGTCCATGCTGGCATCCTGACTCTTCTCACTTCCTCTCCTACCCTAAACTTCCTCAGCTGAGGAGCTTCCCTACGCCCCCCCACTCATTTTCCTTATAACAACACTATTCCTGCCGTGCTCCCTCTTTTGCCCTCTCTGTCTTCATCTCTCACCTTCCCTCAGTCTGCCCCCCTCCTCCTGCCCTGCTCCTGCTTCTCTCCTGGCCAGGTCCAATCTGCTGGCCATGATCAGTCTACTACTTTTTCTGCTCTGGATTCTTCCAGATGCCTCTGGCTGTTTTCTTTCAGACCTACAATAAAAACCTTCCCCTTAACCATATCATAGAATGGTCATGTCAGTTTATAGAACCAGCAAATCCCAGGAATCCTGTCTCCACTTCCTCAGCACTGGGATGGCAGGCATGCGCACCATGCCTGGCTTTTCACAGGGCTCTAGGAGTGTGAACCCAGGTCTCCCTGCTTGAATGACAAACGCCTTCCCCACTGAATCATCTCACCAGGTCCCCCAAATAGTTCTTAAGCATTTATTTTTATTGTTATTTTGTGTGTGTGGGGGGGGGGGGGTGTATGAACACAAAAGTACTGACACCCATGGATACCAGAGGCACTGGACTGCCCATGGAGCTGGAGTTACAGATGGTTGTGAGCTGCCCAAAGTAGGTGCTGTGAACCAAATTCAGGTCTTCTGGAAGAGTAGTCGGTGCTCTTAACCACGGAACCATCTCTCCAGGCTCCCCGAAGCAATTTTAATAGTAATAAAGAGCAGACTGGGCATGGTGGCATATCCTGTAATTTGATGCCCGGGAGTTAGCTAACTTTCCTGGGCTGTGTACACAGCCTGAGGTCACAGAGACCATGTAGTAAGACATTATCTCCAAAGAAAGTAAAAACAAACAAACAAACAAAGAGAAGCTGAACAAGCAAGATCCCCTTTCTCCAAGGAGAGAAGGAAGTCTAGAGAGAAGCCTGCTGCCAGGGACAGTGGATGATTACTTCTTAGGTGGCTCTTGGATGAACCCTCCAAACATTCGAGGTGACTCCACACCCTAGCTATGCCAGGAAAAGTACCTACGAAGATGGTACACTTACTATCAACCAAAGGTCAACTGAATGTTTATCACAATGAGGCTTACCATCAGTTGAACATTTAGACAGGAAAGGACACAATTTTAGGGTCGCAAACCAGGCCATGGCCACAGATGGCCTTTGTTCCATTTAGCAAGGCTGACTGTGGACAGCTGGGAGTGCAAGTGAGAGGAAGTATCTGGCACACCCCCAGAACTGACCCACTGTACCAGGACCCTTAAGGGAAGGGCGATGCAGCCACCAGGCCTTGATATGTTCCAATTTCTAACAGCAGAGGACATGACTTCATCCCCAGGTTATCTGATCAGCTATTGCTCACAACAACCTAAACGAAAACTAAGAGGACCTGGAATGAGGTCCACGGGAGATATAGGCAGCAAAATCCTGGAGAGTCTACGAAGATTGAGAGGAAAATTCCAGTTGGAACTGAGACCCAGAAATCAGAGGCGTACACACAGCACACACCAGCAGCCAAGACCTGATATAGAAAACTTTAATCAACAATTGTGGAAACAATACACTCAGACATTAAATATCGGAATTCTCCATCATCACCACCACTACCACCAGTCTAGAAATAAAATGATCCATTAATCTCAACTGTTCCTGGTGGGAGATAAAAGATTTAGGAAAATGTTTTCCATAAACACATTTCTTTTTACCCCAAGTGTAGACTCCACACAGAGATAAGACAAGTTTGTACTCAACGGAATTTATTCAGCCAGCTTTGTAGCACAGCTCATCACTATGCAATGGCTTCCCTTACTCTCCCCTCCCACTGGATTCGATGAGCAGGGGAAACGATGCTCCACTATACACTTGCCAGACAAAACAAGTAAAAGTTTAACATGAGTGAATTCTATGTCATTATAGTTTAAAACACGTATCAAAATCACATCTTTCTTGTAAAAGGGGCTGGCAGTCCACCAACAATGCAGTGCTTCCTTAGGGCGGCCCTGTGATGTGGCCTGCCTCTCTCATGCAACCCACCGAAGGAGACTGATTGTACAGACCGCCTGCCTTCTCAGTCACCTTGACACGGACACACAAGTCTAAAAGGAAACAACCCCAACTACAAGAGTCATTCCATTCAAGTACTGAGAGAAGTGTGCATGGAAAGCTGGGGGAGACAGCCTGGAGAGAAGCGGGCCTTCAATACTTCACATGAACACAGCTAGAAGAGACTGTTAGATCCTGAATGCCTAATGCCTCGAACACTGGTTTGGTGAGCAGGTAGGCAGCCTAGCCTATTTGCCTCCAGGCTCTTCTGCAGTGACCACTGTTGGTTTTAAAATGTGTCCTTTCTGTCCTTTCTTTCTTTTTTTTTCTTTTTTTTTTTTTTTTTTTGGTTTTTCGAGACAGGGTTTCTCTGTGTAGCTTTGCGCCTCTCCTGGCACTCACTTGGTAGCCCAGGCTGGCCTCGAACTCACAGAGATCCACCTGGCTCTGCCTCCCGAGTGCTGGGATTAAAGGCGTGCGCCACCACCGCCCAGCCCTTTCTGTCCTTTCTTAAACCAGTGGTGGACCTACACTGGGCCAAGAAGTCATTACTGCCACAGTGCTCCCAAGTATTGTGCATCCAGTTTCCTGTGTGCTGTTTATGTACTACCCACCGTACAATTACACGTGTTCAGGGCTACAAGGAAAATCTGGTGATATACGAAGCTGAAAGAATCACCATCCCTAATCCTGTTCCACACATGTATTTTTTCTAGATGCTTTCCAATTCAAATGATAAAGAGAACAATACAGGCAGGGGTACCAGAAGCTAAATTGTGCTCACTTTATCTCAGCTAAAGCTGAATGGGGATAGTAGAGACAAGATGCAGTATTAAGAGTTAGGAAAAGGTTCTGGGTGAATGGCCTGGGGAGTGATCTTTCCCATGGGGAATCATGGAAAAATCAATGCTGGGTAGACAATCAGACAGGCAGCTCCTTGTCTAACACTTAAACACCTGGACAACACCATGTTAGGGTGTGGTCTAACCTCTGCTAGAACACCAATGGGCAGGAGGAAGCTGGTACTGTCCACTTCATCTGCAGGACAGCACAGCAGGGAAGCAGAGAGGCAAAGCCATGAGCACAACTCTGTTCTACAGATGCTCAGGAGTTGGGATCTGTCAGTCGCTACTCTAAAGAAACCAGACTTCTTCCCAGCATCCCATGCTCTTCACATATAATCATTCAAAACGGAGATACCCAGCTACTAAGACATGTGGATTTTAGGGATCACAATGGAACAGCTATATGTGTGTGGGGGGGGGGGGGTGGACACAGATAAAGCCTCTTAGAAATGATCACTGCAGGGCCTGGAAAACAAAGAGAAAATAAACATCTTGGGGCAGGGACACAGAGCAATGGGGACTGAACTGTGAGCTGGTGACCACTGGCAGCCATGGTCAGCTCAGCTGTGGGAGGTAGGTGAGAATGCTGTGAACTGTTCTGGGGCTGCAGCCTGCCTTCCTACAGCAGTGGGAAGCAGGCTCTGTCTTGGTCTCTCTTCTGCTAGCTCACATGCCAGCATGGCAGACAATGCCTTTGTGTCTTTCCTCTGGGAGCACCAGGGCCTGTTTCAGGGTTTTAATGCCCCCTTTAGAAGACCAACAAAGGGACACGCTCATTGACAGACAATAATGCCAAAACTCAATTTATAAAGGGCTAGTTCTCCTACTGGGGAACGCAAACTAAAATCACTTGACCTGATACAAACATGTGACCTTTAAAGACCACCTGGCCTCGGTCGGTAATGAGACCTAACCCGTTCGGTTTTAAGTGGCTCTCATTGATGTATGTTAAATGGCAACAGTATTGGTCTTTAACAAAACTGTAACTGACAGAAACAGAACAACATATAACCAACCTGACAGCCAGTACTTCTTTATATATCGAGCCGCATTCTTTCCTGCATCTGTTTCAAAAGTATCCAATATTTATATTTAGCGGCTAGAAGACAGGGGGCCAAATCCTCCTGCAACGAGAGAGCAAAGCTTTGACCACTGAGCCTGGGAAGCGGGGTCAGTGAAAGTCTATCAAGTACTCGGGGTAGATCTGGTTGGCATCAAACACCACAAAGATCTTTGGGTTCCAGGTGTCATCCACACAGCTGTCATATAAATTCACATAGCTCCCGTCTTTGGAAGGAGGTCTCATGTATTTGGAGTCTCCGTTTATGTAATCCCCAATTAGCACTCGAGCAAGAAACATGGATTTATAGGTTCTGAACAGATGTCGCTGCTGCACGCTGACCCCGTGGATCTGGAACGTGTTACCATGCTTGATGTCATCTTTGCAGAAACGACTGGAGTATGCAGCGTCTCTAGCAAAATAGGTTCCTTCAACAGAAAGGGCCAAGGTTACTTTGGAGAAAAGATGAAAGGCGGGGACAACATTCTGAATGACAGGAGAACAGACATGAGCCATACCACAGGGACAGATATGGGACCTCCTCCTCTGCACACCTAAAGAACAGGACACAATTCCCACCCTCACCCCATGGAGGCAGCTGTAGGTGTCCCATGCCTCACTAGTGCCCTCTTGTGCCCTGGACAAACTAGGTGCCACACTTGTGTTTCCAAAAGAGAGCTTGCAAGGCAATCCAGGAAACAAAACACAAAAGCATTCTGGGATGAGAAGTGTGGAGGTCTGGATTTCACTGGAGGCCATCCTCCCCAGCTGGGTCCTTCCTCAACCTCTTCCCCATAACCCTCACCCAGCATCCAGTCAAGCTCTGTAGAATACTGCTCTATCCAAGGAGCTCACACTCAAGAGGCTGCTGGCTATGACAAGGGCAATCCAGAAGTAACTCTAGAACCAGGAAGTATACTCAGGAACAAAATTCTGAGACTGTACAAAGCTATAGCTGTGCCTTGGCTCTTCAGTCTTCCTGGGGCCCATGGATCAAAGGCTTAGTCTTCTGGGAGCTTGGTGCTAATGAGAGGTGTGGGGACTTTAGAGAGGGCATGCCCTTAAAGGGGGATTATGAACCAAAGACCTTCTTCCTAACACTTGCCATGGTCCAGCTGCCAGGAGGGATGGACAGTTCACTTTATATGACATACTCTGCCATGATGGTCTGCCTCAAAACAGGCTCCACAGTGCCAATGGAGCACAGACTAAAATTTCCGAAACTGTGAGTCAAAGTGAATCTTTCCTTTTTTGAAGCTGTCTTGGGTGTTTTGTTATAGTAAGAGGAAGCTATTGAGCACATTTATTTCTGCCTGAGCATTCCTGAACGCTGTCAGTTACTGTCATGAACGCTCAATAAAGCACTCAACGCTCTAGAAATGATTGACACAATCAATCAAGTGCCTAATTCTAAAAAATTGGACACAAATTGCAAAGTCTCATAACCAATCAATATCAATGGAACTGGTGTCCTGACTTTTCTGACCTCTGACAGCTACAGTGAGCAGCCGTATTAGTACTTATCCTTAAATTAATTCACTGCTTCAAAATTAGCACCTCCTAATCCTACATGTGGGGAGTCAGCTCTCTTGCTGGAAGTGAAGCACGAAGGAAGGACTGGGAGAATAAATGCCCACCCCTATCCTCCTCAGCTCTCTCCCTATCTGCTAGAGTCATGCCACAGGGTGGAGAACGGAGACTTGCATGGCACTAGAAATAAGGTGGAATTTTACCCATTTTTCCCTTTAGTGTATGTTGATATTCTTACCTATCATTTTCTAACAAAAAAAAAAAACCAACCAAACAAACAAAACACCAAAACCACTAGTTGCTATACCAGAGTGTACTTAATGTGCTTCTATCACTCTGTGCATTTGCTATGGAGCAGTTTGGTGTGTGTAGGCTCATCCATGGAAAGGGCTGACTCAGACACTACAGGTACCGCAAGGCTTCTCTAACAAGGCTCCTCATCAGGATAACCAGAACCCAGGCAGCTACTGACTATGGCAGATGTGCAAGTCTCACTTCCAACCTGTCTTAAACTAGAGTCCGCTAACTTTTAGCTTCATTGCTGCCAACTCTGAATCATAAAGCAACCGATTTTCCCTAGAGAGAGGGAACGTTCCCCTATGACTGAACCTGGACCTGAGATTCGGATTATTACCTTTTCCAAAGACAGCACCATGTACACCATTGATTCTCCAATCAAAGTTGTGAATGCAAATTGCTTCCACAAATTCACTGCTGGTGCCATGAAACAGCATTTGCTCATTGATCTGAGGGACACCTCTCTTTTTCTTGAGCTGAGCCTTTTTCCTAAAATCATAAAACATTCAGATACAAAAACAGAAAAATATACCAGTGAGTGGTATTTCTTAATTTAAAATGTTAAAGGGCAAAGTTCAATAGAAACGGTGAGATAACAATATAAATAAATCATACAAGATAAATGAGTAGACAGAGCAATTCTAGCAAAGAAATAGTTTCAAATGGTCTGGGTTACATAAAAATCATGTAATCAAATATGACAGCTATCAGTGAGGTGTGGTACTTAGTGCTTGTAATCCCAAGGTACAAGAGACAGAGACAGAAGGATCAGAAGTTAAAGGCTATCCTAGGCTAAAAAAACATTTTGAAGTTAGCTTAGGTTGCATGAAACTATTAAAAAAAAAAAACAAAAAACGAACAAACCAAAAAGTATAGCTAACATTGAGACTGAAGGTTAAAAATTACATCCCAAAAGACCGGGCATATAGCTGAGGGGTACAGTGCTTGTCTGGCATGTGGGAAAGCCTGGGTTCCATCCCAGCACTGTGGAACAAAGAGGAAAAGAGGAGAAAGGGGAGGTCAGCTGATCATCTAAAGCAGCTAAGCATTAGAAATGGTTACAAATGAGACTAGAAACAAATAGTACAAAGTTCTTAGATATTTAGACAAAGAATTCTGTCTTTGAGCTGGGACCACATTTTATTCTTTTATACCCAAAGTCTGTGTAAGCTGACTGAATTTTGAAGTTTAAGGAGCATCAAGCTCCAGTTTAACATTCTCCCTAGTGAATAAATCTTCAGTGCATCAGAGCTGGAGGACAGATCATATTAATAACAGAAAGACAAAACCAAAAGGCCTAAAAAGCTTTTGTAGAAAAATGGGTCCTTATCTATTTGTATATGAAAATAAAAAGCAGGAGCCAGGTACAGTTAATCCCAGCACTCGGGAGGCAGACGCACGAAGATCTCTGTGAGTTCAAGGCCAGTCTGGCCTACAGAGTGAGTTCCAGTCTAGCCATGGGTACAGGGTGAGAGACCCTGTCTCACAAAGACACAAGTTCAATGTAATAAATTAGATCCAGGTGCACTGTAAATATAAAAAATAATAAGCCTAAATACAATGTTGTAAAAATCAATGTATTTCTCAAAATGATACTGTGTGTTATATACACATACATACCCATGAAGTAACAACACAAAACTATAGGCCAGAAAATACCTCCTTTTGAGAAGAAACAAGAATAGCATGGGATAAGAAACAAGAATAGCATGGGATGGAATAAACGCTTTGCCTCTATCAGAGAGATGTGAGATAAAGACAATGAGCCAAGTACTGGAATGTCAAATCTGATGATGGGAATATGGGGTTTGGAAGCTATTTGCTGCATTTGGGGTTTTGAAATGCTTCACCAAAAAGATATTTAAAATAGGTCACCCCCGTACATCTCTGCTAGCTCACCTGAGCTATGCCTGAGACTTCCTTAAAACATAATACATGGAAATACAAAAGCACACTCAGGACCAGTAAGTGGCACTTAGGATTTTAAAGAGCAAGGTTCAACAGGAAGGCTGAGGCACAGAAGTCTTCTGTAATATGAACCATGAATGGACAGCAAAGCAGCTTTCTGGAAAAGCCAAGAGTTGCTTAAATCCATTCTAACAGGGAGGACTTGTGGCTGGGTCGTTCTGTGACCAACACTAACAGATATGAAGTGCACTCATCCCAACGATGAACTAGAATCCACTTCCATGTCTACTGACTGGCCTATGATATTCCTTTAAACATACAACAGTTCTTCTCTTTTATAAAATAACTCCATAGATAACCACTCCCCAAAAAGCTATGAGCAATTCCCTCAGCTTTGTTCTCTGGGAAATACACATTATCCCCCCAGCTATTCCTCACACTTCCAGCCCTTTCTCCACAGCAAAACACCTTCACTTAACCAGAATTTGCTGGATACCTCTTAACTTACAAACCTTGGGAGGGAACAGAACCCCAGCCCAGCTATCATTAGACACTGGTGACCGAAGACACTGCACTGGGCTAACAGTGTCATTGAATGTCTTCCATACTAAGTGCAGTCAAATAAAATTCTCAGAGTTTTTCAAATCAGACCTCTCTCAGCTAATCATATTGGAACAACTGACAGATAAACCTGATACTTTAGACTTACTTCAGTTTAAAAAGTAAAAATTAATTAACAAAGTAAAATACCCATATTATAAATTGACAAATTTTATCGTAACAGGTGACTAAAACACATGTACTCAAATGATGACAGAAATGAAAATGCATATTCCTCAGAGGTCATTTAGTAATATTTATCAAATTTCAGGGCATGGGCTTTGATTCAGAGCAACTGTCTTTCCAGACCACTGCTCATATAGGAAGGGCATGCATCAAGCAACTCTTTCACTCACACAATAACAGCACATTTTCCACTAAGAAATTCTACCTAGTTTCTTTTTCTAGGACTGTGTGTATGAACTGTCTCATTTTTTTTTTTAACAATGCACATATACTTCCCTTAACAGCTAATGGAAAAGAATGCTTTAAAAAAGTAAACTATCTGTTTTGGTCCATTTCCAACTTCCCAAAGTCTTTTGGACTCAAAGTTCCCTCAGAATTCAAGCTGCCCTTTCTGGTTTTGAATCTTTCCTGAGTGTGACAAGCAACCTACACTTTCACTTAAGTGCCTGATAGCGTTGCTGGGCTGAAGAAGCAAGCAAGCTTGACATCCAAGTCTTCCCAAAAGACTTCTCACCACCCGTTACTCATCGTCTTTGTACCATCACCCGGAACACTGCTTCCGTCATAAGAAACTTTCTCAACCACTTTAGAGAGGCTGAGTTAAATTATCCAAAAGGCTTTCCTTGTTAAGTTTGGTATTCATTAATCCATATTGTGATGGTTGTTTTGTGAAAGCAAACACCTGATTAATAAATACATTTACCTCTAAGGTCAAGTTTTATGAGCTGTAATGACTAGATTCCATTCTAAAAAATGAAGATATTTGGGGCTAGAGATGGGCTCAGAGGCTAAAAGCACTTACTGCTCTTGCAGAGGACTCAGGTTCTGGTCCTAGCACCTCACCAAATGATTCATAATCACTTATAACTCCAGGTTCAAGTGCTCTGGTGCCCTCTGGCTTCTGAGGGCTTCTTACAACTGTGGCACGCATCAATTCATGCAGACACACACACATAGATGTCTTTAAAAGATGCTCACTTGTCATTACATCCCAGACACAGGTTAAAGTGAATCATGGTGTGAAATGTGCATTTCACAGGTATTATAAACCACAAAATAAAGGATCTTGTGTGAAATATTCCTTTACACTGTGTGAATATATATCAACATAATTGGCTTAATAAAGAAGCTGACTAGCCAACAGCTGGACAGGATAAAGTTAGGGCAAGAGACAAACAGAATGCTGGGAAGAAGGGTGGAGTCAGAAGAGTTGCCAAGAGACACAGAGGGAGCAAGACATGCCAGAGGACAGGTAAAGCCAGAACATGGCAATATACAGACTAATAGAAACAGGTTAATTTAAGTTGTAAGACCTTGTTAGTAATAAGCCTGAGCTATTGGCCAAGCAGTTATAATTTCTATTAAGTCTCTCATGGTTATTTGGGAGCAACTGCTGGGACACAGAAAAACTCCATCTACAGTCTGGCACTGGGCATCCGCAGGCCATGAAACACTGCATGGCTACTGGAATGGAGGGAGCACATACACCAGCCAGAGGCAAAGTAGACAGGGTTTGCAACCCTACTAACAAAGCCAGGAAATGTGGGCTCACAAACCATGCCTTTGGTCTTCCAGAAACTTGACTCCTGAGTTAAACTTGCAAGGAAACACCTAAAACTACAGTAAATGCTTCCTAACCCTACCCACTGGATCAGACCTACACAAAGTACTTTGGCACACAGCTCTCAATATTGTTGTCTCAATATTCGCATCCTCTAAGGATCGAGGTTCCAAAAAGCCCAGGCTCTAGCCCATACACTGTCGCAGAGCAGCAGTGTCTCTATGCTCTGGACTGAGGACATTCATCTGGGTTTAGACCAGTGGCCCTTCATTCCAGATGAACATCAGAAACATTGTAGAATCAGGGGTTCCGAGTCAGTGGATCTGGATTGGGTGATGGATCCCTCTACCTGTTAAAGAGCCCCAGAGAGGGCTCTGATACACAGCCAGGTCAGGCATCTCTGCTTGATCAAAACCCACATACTTATCAAGACAGGGGCTCTCACTGCTCTAATACTCTGGCTATTCCAGCCATATTTGCCTTGCTGCTCTTCCACTGTACCTCTCAAGTAAATCACATGCAACTCCTCTTGGACTCCTCCAGACACCCACATGCTCTACCTTCACCTTCAGCTTAACCCTCAGTGTGGGAAATCCTGTGGTTCCCAGCTCTTCTGCCCCACTTCCCACAGTGGGCACTCAAGTCTCTCCTTTTTCTATGCCTTTGATCTACATCTCCACAGGGCTTCACTCTATGTAAGTGACTTCACTTATTTCACCATGGAAACTGGAAGGATTAGAGTCTGTAGGATAGCCAGACTCTCACCTCCATGTAAGTCTAACTGGACACGTGTCTACCTCTTCTCTGCTGGCACATGGTCATTGAATCTCATTCCATCATGCTTCTTTCAGAGTTTAATCAATCAAATGCCCTCCCCTCTTGTCCTGTCCTCTCACCTCTCCGTTTCTGTAAGTTTCTTCCAATTATAATGTTAACCATTAAAGAAATAATAATAATAAACCCTAACAAAACAAAAATACTCTTCTCTTTACCCACTTCCTTATTTCCTCTCCACCTTCCAATGCCAAACTTCCTGAAGGAGTTGTCAAACATTACTTAGCCACATGATACAACATCAAATATTACTTTCCCTTTCATTATGGTTTGTTGCAAACCCCAAGAACATGCCTAATATTCATCATCCCTGGCACTTCCTCAGGATGCGACCCTGCAGATTATCCCTCTGATTCCATTAGCTTCTGCAACTCCACGTTCTACTGGTTTCCTTTCCTCTGCTCACACTCTCCAGAGTCTGGTCCTCTTTTCTTAATGTATACACACATACTCTGGTCATCTTATCATTCCTGGTTGCTAGCATCCCATATCTTCTAGCCTTCATCACTAGTCTAGATCAATTTCCTGATGCAACCATAGAGTATCGATACTCTATGGTTGCTACTCCCTCCCATGGTCTCTACAAAGACCAAGTCTTCTGTCTACTTGTATTCCTTTAGTCAAGTAAGACAAACCAGGATCTGGGAGTGGCACTGCCTGTCTTCCTCACTCATCCAGTGTACACTGAGAATCATACACCAAGTCCTACGGTCTTACATCGTCAATACCTCCAAACCACTGCCTTTGCTCCAACACAGCAGATACCACTTTGGTTGAAAGGCTGTCTGTCCAAAGTGTCTCAGTTTAACTACAGAAACCACTTCCTAAACTGCTCTCCCTGCTTCAGGCTGTGATTGCTTAACATCAGGGCTTCTCAACCTTAGCAGAATGCTGTTTGGGGGTAGAGAGGTTGTTGTTGTGGAGGCTGACCTGCATACTGTCAGAAAGTTAGCATTCCTGACCTCTGTCCACCAGCTGCCAATAGCCCCTATACTCCACCACAGGACAATCGAAAATATCTCATTACCAAATGTTCCTGGTAGGAAGAATCACTACCAGCTGAGAGCCACTACCCTACAGCTTTTCCTACAGTATTGCCTGGTGAATTATCATTCTAAACTCTCTCTCTCTCCCACCTGAAGTTTTACAGACTTTACACTGTTTCAGAAAAAACAAACAACAATAAAGCATGACCAGTTTGGCTTATAAAGTGCTGCATGGAAGGCCCTGCTAATTTTAATTTATGGTCTGGACAATTGACTCGGAGCAATGGAGGGAAGTTGCACAGTCACCCAGCCGCACTATCAGCTCCTACGTACTCGCTTCTTGGCTAGGTTTCTAATGCTGCTCACCCCAGTGTTCTTCTATGTGGAGGTCTCTGAATTTTCTGTGTTCCAATTTTTACATACATTTTGGCCCATGATGACCCCATGTCTAAGATGCCCTCCTTCTCCCTGGCCCATGCCTGGTGCAAATAACATCAGCTTTAGGAAGCTCTCCTTAGTACCCCTGTTCACTACACACACCCTCCTTTAGGGCAAGGGTCAATCAATGCCCTCACTTTGCGTTCCCATGCATCTTTGTGCTCACCCATACATCTCGGGTCAGCAGTGGCCTGGTTCTTTGACCTACAGACCTATACATCATCAAATCCCAAGTACCTAGAATACTGCCTATCACAAAGTGGGGGCTAAGACTACTTGCTGGGAAGAGGAAGGAGAGAAGTAAGAAAGGAATGTATAATATGTAGTGAGGTGGACTCACTCAGGGCCTGCCTATCCAGAAGATGAGTTACAGCTTACATGTCAATGAGACCAGTGAGGCTATTTGAGTTCTGCAGGGAGATTTCAGAGTGACAGGCTGCCTAGACCACAAGCCTCAGTATTTTGCACTGTCATGGTAGGTGTCTGTGGGTTGACATTACAGAAGATCACAAAGGGCAAAAACCAAGGAAAATTTCTAGTAAATTCTTAGTATAAAATGCTATAGGACTCAGCACTACATTTTTTATGCTTTTACTGAGAGCTCTGAAGTATGAAGGTGAGTATGAACTCCAGCTCAGAGACTGAAATTAAGAATAATAGCACCGGGGTTGGAGAGATGGCTCCGCAGTTAAGAGCACTTGCTGCTCTCACAGAGGATCTGGTTCAGGTCCCAGAACCCACATGGCAGCTCACAACCACCTATAGTCCCAGAGGACCTGACCCCTCTTCTGACACCCATGGGCACTAGATGTGCATGTGGTGCACATACACACATGCAGGCAAAAACTCACACATAAAATGAAATATCTAATTATTTAAAGAATAAATAAGTTTCACCAACTCACTTTAGAAAAACTAACTGAATCACTGAAAGAATAAAATCATAGGGAGCAGAGGCTTCTATTTTCCCCTAAACAAACTGAATAAAACCTTCTAAATTCAGGTAAATTCAGTGACTGTCAGAAATGTAAGGTTTTTGGTCGAACACTCAAGACTATAAAAAGCACAGGCTGAAAGCCCCACTGTTACTATAATTTCTTACAACTGAGGCCCAGAGACTTGGAGCCACAGAAGAATTCCATATACCATTACTGTGATGGTGAGCTTCGATTGAGGACTTTACATAATGTAGAGTACCTGGGGATGCAGTCTCATTTAGGAGCAGTTTAGATTAGGCTGATCTGTGGGCATGCCTTTGAGGGATTTTCTTGACTAAGTTAATTGGAATGGGTCACTGTGGATGACAGGACAATCTGGGTAAGAGTGGAGAAAGCAAGCTGAGCACTAGTACGCATTCATTAATTTAAGACTTGACTGTGGATGTTTATTTATTATGTATATATACAGTGTTCAATCTGCATGTACCCCTGACCACCATAAGAGGGCACCAGATCTCACTACAGATGGTTGGGAGCCACCATGTGGTTGCTGGGAACTGAACTCAGGACCTCTGGAAGAGGAGCCAGTGCTCTTAACCTCTGAGCCATCTCTCCAGCCTGCTTCAATATTCTTAACCTTCATCACCACCTTGACTTCCCTGAAATGATGGACTGTAACCTGGAATTGTGAGCCAAATAAACTCTTTCTCCCTTAAGTTGTTTTGGTCAGGATATTTTACCATAGCAACAGGAAACAAAACTGTAACAATTACCAAAGGAAAATCAGCCTAATTCTCAAGTACATGCAAATGAAATGGTGGACAGAAATACGTTCCAATAACAAAGCAACTGATTATGTGTGGTTAATCTTGGTCTGTTTTTGGCAAATGTTTATTTGTTTGATTGGTTTTTTGAAAGTCTCACCATATAGTAGTGCAAGCAGCTTCCAACTTGCTCTGTAGCCCTTGAACTCACAGTCCTGCTTTAGCTTTCTGTGTGCTGGGCTAGCGGGGGTGTGCCTCCTCATCTGCCTGGGTAGCAAACCCTGACAGATGTTGGACAGGATCACAAGTACACAGGGCTTATTATGGTAGAATTCTACTTCTGTGTTGATTTGAAATTCTTCTGAGTAAATCCTTAAAAGCTTATAATAAAAATGTCAGAAATCAAATCTCATCTACAAATGTTTATTTAAAATACTTCAGAGAACCACTTATTCAAATATTATTTATTACAAAAGTACAACATAACAGGTTAATTTGGATAACAAATTTAAGTTTTAGGTAATAAGCTTTATATTTAGGTTAAAGGCACACTGAGAAATCTAACAGTCATTACTAATGTAGATTTAGTAATGAATTTTTAAATCCACAGCATAAACTGAGTGAAGCAAGAAATTTGAAGGTAAATTGTAAAGTATTCTTTCAAACAAAACAAGCAAAAAGCTGCAGGAAGGATAGTATTAACTGTTTGTTTGTTTTTTAAGTCAGTATTTCCAGAGATTTCTAACTCAACCTAAAGTGCTGAGGCAAGTAGCCTCAGCAAAGCTAAAGAGCTCCATTTCGACCTCTAGGATGCAGTTTCAGACCTAGCGAAGACGGAGCTTCTCCCACTGTGCTGGCTGAATGTATTCCAGGAGACCCTGTGTGCTAAGGATGGAGAGAGGGCCGAGAGGCCAGCAAGGGCCACAGAGATGGCTCAGGTGTTAGGAGCGCTTAGTCTCTTGCAGGACTCCCATAGGCTCACAAGTGCCTCTAATTCCAGTACCAGGGGACAGAATGCCCTCTCTGACCTCTGCAAACACCACACATGCACAGGGTGCACAGACATACACACAGGCAAAACAGTCATACCCATAAAATAAAATAAATGTAAAAAAAAATTAAGGCATGGCAAGAGAACACAGCTAACCTTGTGTGGCTATCCCTACAGTTTGGAAGAGTGACACAAGGAGAAAAGAGAGACAGGAAACCCACTTACCTGCAAAAGAACTCCCATAAGTCTAAGTTTTGAATCCTTTGAATCCTTTTAATTCGGTTCCGATCCATTGTTTTCCCAAAGAGACTGGCAACTTGGTTATATTCATGGGTTTGGTTCTGCAGGGAAACCAGCTGGGAGAAGAAGTTTGCAGAGTTTAGCAGTGGTTTTCCCACCTACTGCCCCAGAATGGCCTGTCCTACAGCCCACCTGCCCTTACCTGGTAGGGAACCTCAGTATTCACATTCTCCCAGTGGGTTGGCATGGGGATGGCCTCATTTTCACAGATGTAACTTCAAACAGCAAAAGACAGAGCAGAGATTCAGAAGCAGATAATTAGTGTTGGGGATTTAGTCTTTTCTTCACAGCTGAGTTTTCTGTTTGCAATGTATTCATGACAAACTCAATTAAGTTTAACCTTTGGCTTCACTTCGAAATATTTACTGAATGTCTACTTTCCTAATTTTTAAATGCTGTTATAAATTTTGATAGGAATACACAAATCTACATAGCTTCAACGCTTCAAAAACTGCTAATTCAACTTCTTTTTGTTGAGATTTCTATAAAATGTGAATAATATTTTAGCCAAAGAAAAGGAATTTCTAAGAAAAATTAGGCTGACTTAAAAAAATATTCCAAGCGTCTGCGATATTTGTATTGAATGAAATTGGAAACTCTAGCAACCATTGCTGTCCTCTATGACCTGACTCAGCCCTCCCTTCTCCGCCTCCTATTTCCTCAGACAAGGCACCCTGACTTGCCGAGTGCAGTCAATCACTTGGCAGCAAATCTTTAAAAGCCATGTAACGTGGTCAGGCCACAGGACACCAACACAGAGATGGTGGCAATGGAGGCTCACGGGCAAATGTAAAACAGGTACACTAACCTTCCTCGGAAATGCCAAGGGAGTGGGTGAGACTGACCAACTTCAAACCTATCCTTAGCTCACTTCTGTCAAATTATGGGGGAAACCCCAATACAATACATAATTTTTTCAAGATTTTTATTTGTATGTATGTGTATCTGTGTACAAGTGTGCTTACACATGTGTAGGTGGCTTCAGAAGCCAGAAGAGGGCATCCAATGCCCTGGAGCTACTCACAGTCAGTTGTGAGCTGCCTGTGTGGGTGCTGGAAACCACTCGGAAAGGTCTTACAAGTGCCCACAAGTACCGAGTGGGAACCTTTGTTCCTGCTCCAGGCAGTGTTCTGGTCAGTTCTTACTCTTCACTCCTCCCCCACACAGTCACTGTTTCTAGACCCAGACATCCTTTAGAGCTTCCTTAGCTTCAGAAAGCCAAGTTTTACTCAACACAAATGGTAGCACAAAGCACACATTTTTGCCCCTAGGTTGTTCTGTTCATTTAATCAATTCTTATCATGATCTTTATCAATATGAATGCAATCTCCTCATTCCCAGGGCCAAGGGGAGTCCCAGCACATGGCAGACACTCAGTTAACGCTCAATTAGTAAATGCCTTCTCAGCGGCACACACACACGCAATTCCGTTCATCTGTGCATGGCCAGGGGGAGCAAGAGGTAATGTGCAGCCCAGGCGCAGGGAACGGGAGCTGGGGTACTTCCACTGTGGAGCATCTTCCCTAGACCTCTTTAGTCACTAGGGGCTTGATGTGTCATCTAGGGACTGCCCAGATGGGGTTCTGCATTGGTGCAGGAACAAAGTGGGCGGTTCCCTAGGATTTGGGGTCCAAATAACAGAAGAGCTCGGAGACAGAACTGTAATTTATTTAGCCGCTTGCTTCTGGTGATACTTAGCTTGTTTCAACTTCTGCTACTCCATTCAGAATGCTGCAAAGAACAAATCTGTCCATTTGTTATTTCATATGTCCAGTAATTTCTTATAGACTGACATCTCTGAAGTGGCATTTCAGAGTCAAAGGATGCATTTATTGATGGCTGTGATAGACACTGTCTAAATGGAGTCTTGGAACACTCTACTTACTAACCTTCTCACCAGAAATGTGGAGGGTGCCTATCTTCCAGCAACCTCTCCAGAAAGGCATTTCTTCCAGTTTTGAATTTCAGTCAGTTAACAAAGGACTCTGGCATAAGTCATACTTTCCTTCATCATGAGTGTAGGAACATTGTAGGAACATTCAAATTGTCCTAAGAGAGTCCTAGAAGAACTTCAAATACTATAGGAAATATTATTTAAATTAACTTCAAACACTGAGTTGTTTTTTGCAAGCTCTCCATTTTTTCCCACTTTGTCCAATGCATCTCTCAGCTATGGGGGCAAGGTTTAACTAACTTGTATGGACCCACGGGCTTAACAGAACACACATCTGCCAGGCTTGCGATGAGTGCCCAGTGCGGTCTGCATCAGCACCTCCTGATCCTCACCCCCTTAGCTTTCACACTTAACTCCCCTCTTCATTACTGCCTCAATTGCTGTCCTCTGCTGTTTACTCCCCCGCCCCTCCTGTCTTTGTTTTACAGTTGGTACACCCTGGGACAGAAGGAAATGTTTGACCCTAGCAAGGACTTCTCACCCCCCTCAAAGGGATACCGGCTATACCAAGACACAACTGTGAAACACTTCCTGTTACTGTGTCTCACTTCCTGTATTCTAATCCTGGCACTGAGGAATGCATACATGATGTAGCAGGTAAGAACAGACTCTCTGTGTCCCAGATGCAGGAAAGCCTTCATTATCTTTTAAATCGTGATGTTAAAATATAAGCCAAACATCTTGAGAAAGAACACTGAAAGTATTTCCTTCCTTACTAGTCCTTTCAATTCCTTTCTTTGCTCGACTTTCTCAAGAGCTCCTTGGAAGGAGCAGGAGGGCATTCCTTACAATTCACACACTATTGTTTTCTTTCCCAGATGCATCTTAAGTTCTCCAAACAGAAAGAATTCGACATTCGCTTGAGGAATCATTCTAGAAAATAGGAGATACACTCCTGAAGTGTTCCACTTGTCTTCCATTCCTATGTGCAACAATATTTATTTGCCTCTGGCACTTCACAGTTTTTTTAGTCTGTATATGGCAAGGGAACCAAAATGAAAACATGCAAGCTGGATCCAGGGAAGATGCACTGCTGCCCGTGATAGAGCATCCTCCCCAGGTCTAGTCACGTGGACTGACGTTATATCTAAGAGTTGCCCAACAGGGATCTACATCAGTGCAGGGGCAGACAAAGTGGGCAGGTCTCTGGGATTTATGGTCAAATATCTGGAAAGCTCTGTGACAGTATGTCCAGTTCAAATTCAACTTAAGCTCAATAGGCCATGTTAAGGGTTTTAAACAAAAAACACATGGCACCTTGTAATGATCATGCACACTGGTCTAAGAATTGAAAAATATATATACATATGACAGAAGAGAATGAAAGGAAACAATGGCAGAAGACAATGATTATTTTATCAGCAAATGAGAGGTTTAATATTGGAAAAATCACTGTTAGTCCATAAGATGAATGTTAATCTACCCGGTTTTCTGCCAAAGAGTAAGAAAGAGCAGGGAGAGAAAGGCCCGCTCTTTGTGCTACCCCATTTACAATACCTGAAGGCACTGATGGAGAAAGGAGCCCTTTTTATCAGGCGCTGTTTTCCAGTGACGAGATTCATCTGCTTCATTTCTGAACACAAAGACAGACATATCAGATAAGCCACAGAAACACACAGTGCTCCAAGTGTCATGCAACTTAGTAGCCACAATACATGGTGGCCATGTGGCTTTGGGATGAGCTGACAGCTGGGTAGTTATGGTCTTTCATCATCCACCTATTCATTATGTTGTAAAGGTGCAGGGCCCTGCTTCAGTGCTTGACCTGGGCCCCCACCACGATGCTCCTCTCACACCCTGCTCTATGTGCAGGGTATGTACTGCTGTGCATCACACCTCAGGTAAACTGACACTAAAACACAAGAATTCTAAAGGCAGGAGACTTAAAAGCGTAGAAAGACATTATACTAAATCTTCCACTGGATTTGTTACATGGAGAAATGCACTCCGGTTTCTCTAAGAATTTGGAAATTAGAAAGGGATAGATTTCCATATAACATTTGCACAACTCACACAATTTCACAAATGTGTGTTTCTTTACTCCTCTTTAAACTGTACACCTAAACCAAAGAAAAAGGAAAAGAAAACCTGGCCAGAGACAACACATATTTACACAAAGATGGCAGTGACAGAGGCTACTATCTAGTTAGCATCTTCTGCCTGCTCCGTGGCCTTGGCAGTGTGTACCAGGTCCCGTTTATCCTCCAGGCAGGCAGTAAATCTTAACAAACGCCACTGCATTTGTCAAATGGGGGCTCTGCCACTCCTGCATTCTCCTAGACTTGGCACACCACGGCATTACCACCACTCAGGGAAAAGCAAGATCATTTCAGGACATGGCACAAAACCTGTGGAGTCTTCTTCACAGACAGAAGCTGGACAGTGGCAAGATGGCTGGAGTTAAAGGTCCTGGAAGCAATTTATGGAAAATGCTAGCAGCTGCAACTTAGACCAGCACCATTCATTTGTTTGTTACCACATACCACTGCCATACTTTAGCATGGTCTCTTTTTTTTGGATTCAGGGTCTCATGTAGGCAAGAAGGGCCTGAACACACTGAGTAGCTGAGACTGGCCTTGAATTTGTGATCCTCCTATCTCCACATCCTGAGTGCTGGAATTCCAGGCATGCACCACCATGCCTGGTTTATGCTGTGCTGGGGTTTCATGCATACTAAGAAGGCACTCTACCAAGTGAACTACATTCTGAGCATCTACAAAAGCATTTAGGAATCTTCCAGAGTATAGTTCACTAGTGAATATTCTTAGTCAGAAGTGGCCTGCTGAATTACCTACCACCGACTTCAACAATGGCATCCCCTTTACAAAGCCTGAAGTCTGTATATATCGCACTGTGTCTGTTCTGCCTCCAAAACTGTGCTTGTATCCAGCACTAGCACAGAACACTAGCAGCATCTGCCAGACACCTTCTGCTGGAATAGAACACCAATGTCAGCATTCCTTATGAGAAGCCTGCTTGCTTAATGCTATTGTTTAAAGTCAGGATTAACTGGAAGTAAAATGAAATTGTTTTCACTCTTTTCAAATTTAACTTATTCATCTATTCTTGGAATCATTCTTGATAATCAGCAATTGCAAGAAAATCAAGTTTGGTAGGATGGTATTTCCTAGCTAAGTCTATACCGTCCTTGACAAACCCCTTACCACTTCTGGGAAAGCATTTCAGACTTACACTCCATCCTCAGCACACCACTACCACCAGTCAGAAAGATACCACTCAGCAACTGGGAAAGAACAGCTAGAAGACCAAGTGTAGAGTGACTACATGGGCAGTTATTAAGAAGCTGCCCATCCCAATCTCCTTTGCCTCAAGCCATCCACAGTGGGTGAAGGCAGCCTGAGAGTCACGAACTGAATCCAACAGTTTTCATGAGACATCTGATAACATGACCCCACATGGCGGGTGAATCCAAAGAGGCACAGGTCTAAACTGAAGCTGATTGGCACAGTAGCTGGATTCATCTATGAAGGAGCCAGCGAAACGAGGAAACATCAGGAGCAGTATTCATTGAAGAGGCAGCCATCTAAGCAAACTACCAACAGGAAGCTCATCTGGCTTCATTTTGGTCTTGAAACAACTGCCAGCTACCAGTGACTTTCTCATTTAATATCAGTTTGATGTTTAAGATAAAAAGGTTCCCAATCCGATCAATGTTCAGGGATGGGGTGCTGAGTAAAATATGCACTACAAGTTAGGCGCAGCAGTACAGGCTTGAAATCCCAGCTGCTTTGGAGGCGGAGGCAGGAGGATTGTGAGTTCAAGACCAGCCCAGCAATGCACAGAGACCTCATCTCAAAAATCAAAACACGAAAACGAGAGCTAGCTATAAAGAGCTTTACATGAACTCAAAACACACAGCCAACACCACGCATGTTAACACACATGAACACAGAAACAAGCTTTTATAAATGGCAGTGCTGCTCAAGAGTCTAACAGTGCAGTTTTACAGAGCTACTTTTGCATAGAACAGGAGGATTTACTTCATGCTTCAAGACATCTTGGCTAATCCTAAACTGCAGACTGCACTGTGCCGATAGTCTAAGAATACTCTAGAAACACACAACTAGGAGGGGAAACATACCTGCAAAGTCTATCTTGTAGCTGAATTTGGAAGTAGTAAAGGAAATGGAGCCACAAGGGTTTGTTTTGAAGCTTTTTTCGATATCTTCACTGCTAACTGAACATTGAATGTTGGTATCCGGCTTTAAGACAAACCAGAAAGTTGCATTTACCAGCTGTTCACGGTAATGGGTTGGCCATAGAAGTGGAGCTGAGGTCACAGTGACAGAGAACAGAGGAATGAAGGATGCCTACTGCCTCCTGTTCTACCTCCCACACACACAGGGAGCACAACCAAATCTGCACGTGGAAAATGATTAACGGCATCCCGGGGAAAAACAGCTACTGTTATGATGGTCTCTGCGACAGTCATCTCACATACTATCATGAGTTTCACACATTACCTAATGATTACACTAAGTGGCTCAAGTAAAGCTTTCACCAGCCTGATAACCAAACAGTGGGAGGGAAAAAAACATCCCCAATCTACAAGTTCTTGTGTGGGGGTTCAAACCTCAGCTAAACTCACTCTGCAACTTGGACCAAGCAAGTGAGCTTTCCTGAGTTCCCCGTTCTTTGACAGCAGATAGAGCAGTGCCGTCTGCTTCAGAGCTGTTGTGAGGACACACAGGATGCATACAGCACCTAACAGGACACCCAGAGTGCTTCCCACCCTCTCTTTCCATCAGATCGAACCTGGATGTGATTGTATGTGCCAGAGTCCCTCACCCAGGCCTGCTCCCTGTCTAAGCTTACCACTGCTTCTAAGAGGCTACCGCCGGGGGAAGAAACAGACCTCTGGCTACTCTGGTTTCCATCAGGGCTGGTCTCTGCAGGGCCCCGTGAACATGATGACACAGCAGCGAGCCCTTGCCTGTGAAGCTCGGCCAGGGTACCTGAAACATGTGCCACTTCCCACACTCCGCCAGGTAGAACCAGCCCCACTGCGTGTCTGATGTGTCCATGTCATCCACATCACTCTCCATCTTCTTGGGAAAGAATTCCTCTGTCTTGTGAAACATCTTCTGGAAAGCCAGTGAGAGGTAGAGGAGGAAACACCCATTAATGACCAATGTGCTTGCTATGGAACATTCTACTTCATTACCAAGAACCAGGTTCCAACTTCTTTCACACAGTGACATCTGACAGCTATCTGCAGACTGGCCTTGAAGATAAGCAACTGAAAATGTTAGTGCTGCTTAACACATCAGGCTGATGATCCTTCTTGGTTGGGATATGTCAATACCCATAGAGCCCCAGGAAATAATTCGTCATTCGCTTGACTGTCAGGTGCCCCTGCACCACAACTACTTAAGATCAGATACATCTGTTTTTCTATTTTGAATAGTCATCCTATTTAATGTCATGAAGAGACATTTCTAAAATATGACCTGAGGCATAAAAAAAAAGGCTATAAAAGAAAAGAATACTATAATAATAAAGTTTTAGTTAAAATATATCTATACTTGCTTTCATAAACACATGGATATATGCATGAGTAATACATGCACACATGGACACAGGAAAGGAGTTTGAATAGATATGATAACCTGTCATAGTGTCTTCTAAGCACCAAGATGTTAAGAGGATAATGACAGCAGTGACGACAATCTCCAACCCTTATATGGCTCTTACTATATGTCAAGAATTGGTGTAAGAACTGTAGAGATGACTTATTTAGGCTTAACAACAACCTATATGAGACAGGTACTCCTGGTAGAAATTAGGAAACTAAGACAGAGAGGTCACACAATGGGGAAGCTAAGCTCAGGCAGACTGGCCTCAGGGTCTGTACATATAGGCAACATGTTATACTGTTTTATGCTTCATGATCAGTGGGTTTTATAATGCTGACTAGAACATTAACTCATGTGTACCTAATCTTTGAAAAAAGAACCAAGTGGCTGATCAAAATGATTTAACTTCACTTGGAACTTGACTTCCTATCATCATTCTCTAAAGGTTTTTACATTATTGATTTAAATTCGCACAACTAGTCTAGTCTATGGCCATATCACCCTGAACATGCTTGATCTCCAAAGCTGAGAAGGGTCAGACCTAGTTGGTACTTGGATGGGTGACATCCCAGTCTAGACTACAATAGAGAAGCCCTGTAGCTTCTTATAAAGGAGATGTAGAAAAAAAAACTAAACAAAGAACTTTCTGGGCATAGTGGCACATGCCTTTAGCCCTAGTATTCAGGAGACAGAGGCAGGTAGATCTCTGTGAGTTCAAAGCCAACCTGGTCTACAGAGTGAGTTACAGGACATCTAGAGCTATACAGAGAGACCATGTCTCAAAAAACCAAAAATAAATAAATGAATAAATAAATTTAATACATAAATAAATTTGTACAACTAGCATATGACTTGCAAAAAAGGCAGAGTACTCAAGCTGAAGGCTTGTCTGCC